CCCACCCCCAGACACAAAGAACCACCAACGCACCGACAGCTTTTCTCTTTAAACATTTGCTGATGAGCTGACTCCAGCTTGGAGTCCTGTTGATATCAGCTTCATCCTCACTATATAGAAAAAGGCTGCAATCAGCAAAATAATGATCACAGACCTGCAGCAGTAACATCAATAGTAATGAAATCCTTTGAATGCATTATGGTTGAGCACTTGTGAAGTGAAGTACAATTTGAATATAATTACTTTAACTCACTTGATTTTAAAGCATTTAGAAAACCCCTCAGCTTATGCACGATTGTTATTTATGGTCTAAGATCAGCGTTTAATACCACAAACACTTATACACTGTTAAATAACATGAAAGTGGATCCCTATATAATCAGATGGTTGTTTGGCTATTTTCATTTAAAAAAACAACAGGAAGTGAAAGTCAGTTCTGCTTGTTCACACATACAATTTATAAGAACAAGAGTCTCACAGGGCTGTGTGAGATCTCCTGTTCTTTTCATATTATATTAAAAAAAATTGTGGAAATCAGAAGTGATTGTGCAGTGGTATAAGAAACACACCGTGTTAAATATAAAGAAAAATAATCGTCATATTTATAACGATCTTTGATGAAAGATCTATTGGAGATCTCAGCCTGGTTTCAATGACTGGAGAGAAGTTTGAACAAGTGACAACATTTCAGTGTTTAGTCTTCCCTGCAGGAGTCAAATATTATCAGTACAATTGCTGAATCATTATGGGTGAAACTGTGGGTGAGTGTTTGCATTTTTGTTTGTTTTTTGCATGATGTGTTTCCCTAAGTTACTCTGAATGGAGACAATAAAAGTTTATCTAATGTGATGACAGAGATGTTGAGCTTTTTAGAGTTTCATTATGATGGAGAAAATATAAAATACTCATTTAATTAGAGAACAAAAACCAAGAATATTGTTTGAAGCCTTGGAGCCTAAAATCATCTGAAATTCTCAGTTTTGTTTGTTTTGCCACATAGAATTACTTCACATAGAGCAAAGCTGGGACAAATGTTCATGTGACGTCTAAATCATTCAGATCCAAGAAGTAAATGTATAATAACATACTCTGTACAGTGATGTTGACTGCACTGCTGAACTCTCCTGATCCAGACTCACACCAGTACACTGCAGTATCTGACTTTGATGTGTAGATGTCACATGTGGATCCAGTCATTCTCCTACAGTCAGAGAGTCGGCCGTCCTCAGAGAACTTCCTCACTCTCCACTCAGTGAAGTTTCCCTCACAGGTCAGGGAGACAGAGTCAGAGGTGAAGTGTTGCACTCTGTCAGGACTCACTGTGAGAGACGCTGCTGAATGAACATCTGGAAACAACATGCAGTGAAGAGACAAAGATCACAGATGTTAGGATTCAAAATATCACAAAGAAAAAAATAGTTCTTGCTAAACCCACCATAACTGCAAATAAATCTATGAATGAGATTTGTTAATACAGATTTAAATGTTGTGACTCCTGCAGCTGGAAAGATTTCACTGAACCATCTGGGTCTCTCAGTAATAATCTCACAGCATCATTAGAAGCAACATTAGAAGTTTCTGTAAACCTGCTTTCCTACAGTTTGTCCACAGCGTGCATGTTTGTTGTTGCACAAGCAAATATCTTCACCATCAGTCATGTAATAAGATGTCTGACATTTGTGACCTTATTACAAACAGTCAGATCATTATCAGACAGTTTAACATCAGCAGATCTTAAATGTTTGTTCTCTTTGCTTCTACAACTCATGACAGCACTTTACAGGCATCATGTCTGATATCTTTTTTCATAGCAATAGAAGAAGAAGCTGGGAAGGAGCTGCTTGAGACCACGAGATCATCTGTGTACATAATGTGCTTCACAGGAGTGCTGCCAGCTTTACAGACTTTCTAATCATCAACATGAAGATTAAAAAGACCTGGAGACAAAATTCATCCTTGTTTAACTCTGTGAGAAACAAACAAGGAAGAATTTGAACAACAACAGAAGTGTCAGACTGAAGCTCAGTTTACTTGAATGTAGTGAGAAAGGATGAGATTCAATTTAATCCTTCTTGAGGAAACTTAAGTATAATCATTTAATGCAATTTAATTGTAATTGGACATCAGATTTCAATGTCAGCATGCCGCTGCAAGAAAATAATGGTGAATTAAAGTGATGACATAATTTATTAGAGAGAAACAAACTGACCTGCAGACCAGACAAACTTTGGTTGACTGTGATCAGTGTGATACTCTGGGTCTCCTCTTCCAGCTCTGCACACATATCCTGCTGTGTGTGTCTGTCCATGAATGATGTAGGAGTCCTGTGCAGTCCCACTGCCATCAGGTAGCAGCTCATAACTGGAGGATTTCTCTGATAGATCAGGAACAGCTTTATACCAGTAGAAGCTCCATCCTGCAGACGGATGTTCAACCTCACAGTTCAGAGTTACTGAGGCTCCAGGACTCAGCCATGATGGAGACACAGTGAGGACAGGACGGGGTTCATCTGTTCAACAAAGATTTTCTCTCAGTGAACATGTAGTACAGTCTCTGAACAGTGAGCTCAGTTTATACAAAGAATAATAATCTCAGTCTATATGAACAGAAACACATTTTACAAAGTGTTCAAACAGCTTAAAGCAAACATGACTTACTGTCAGAAACTGTCAGTGTGACTGAATCACTCCACTCTGTTGTTTCATGCTGTGAACTTTTCATTCTGCCCTTACAGCGATAGTTTCCACTGTTCAATGATGAAGCATAAATAATCCTGTATTCATTTAGATTTGGAGGTTTTCTGATGCTGTTTGCTTCCCACTCATAATCCCACTCAGTGTCTCCTCCATGGATCTCACATCTGACAGTGATCGTCTCTCCTCTGTATATCTCAGACCAGTTTGGATGCAGAGTCACAACAGGCCTGTTTGAGACTGTTATGTTCAAGAAAGTACAATAAAAACACATGAATGACAAAAGGTTCAAATACCATCAGATGTAGTGCTTTGTGGTAAGTTCAAGTTTGAACTCACCAGTTGTGTCAATCCAAACTGACTCACTGTCCTCTGTGTAGTAAACTGGTTCTCCTCTTCCTCCTCTGCAGCTGTAGAGTCCTCCCTCTGAGACACTGATTTGTCCATTTGTCACAGGTTGATAAGATTTCCCATCTCTGTACCAGTAGTATTTCCATCCAGATGATGATGATGATGATGATGATGATGATGATGGGCTCACAGAGCAGGTCAGGGTCACACTGCCCCCTACTGGAACAGCTGTCCTATCAGCTCTCAGTTCAGCCTTTGGTTTGGCTGCAGTTCAGTTTAGAAGAAGAACATAAAAGTAAAAATGACTGAATCAGAACAATTTAAAGATGGAAACATGAGAATGATCAAATATCACAAAACTTTATTAGTGAAGCTATAACAAAGTGTGTGACACAAAATACTCTGAAATACTGTTTTGATCTGCACAGCAAAGTTTTTTTTAAATTTACTTCAGTGTATTTAAAATTAATTAATAAATGCATAGTTCATTTATTCTCATTAATTTGAAGCATGACTTAGTTAATTCATCTGTAATGAGAAAGTAACCCAGGTTAATATGATCTGATTGTACTTAGCATGCTATGTCCTTGTGTTCTTTACTAAATCTGCTGTTGAAGCCTCTGATAGCTAAGATGAGACCTAGTAAGTGTGTTTTATATTCTTTTGCTGTGGAAGCTGACATTTTCTGTCGATGTGCACAGATGTGTCAGAATGGGTTTTAAAAGACACATCGATGGTTTGGAGGAAGTAATTACTGAAGCTAACTCAGAAAGATCAATTAGAGAAAAAACTCTAAATAAATATCAATGGTACTGAAAGTAGCTGCACATAATGTTTTGTCTGTGAGATGATTATGAGTAATTTCTATACTCATTAAATATCATTAGCCTAAAGTAATAACATACCAGCACAGACCAGCGTCAAACAAAATGAGGCCATATTGTCGTCTGCAGTTCAGAGTTCATGAAATGACCTGTATTTGTACAGCGCTTTACTAGACCCCAAGGACCCCAAAGCGCATTACACATTCAGTCATCCACCCATCCACACACACATTCACACACTGGTAATGGCAAGCTACATTGTAGCCACAGTCACCCTGGGGCGCACTGACAGAGGTGAGGTTCATTAAGTGAAAAAGATCCAGTGTGTGTTTGTCACCAGACTCTTTAACTAAAACCTGAAACCTCTAAGATCATTTCAACAATAGACAACATGCTAAAAACAACTGAAGTAACTGCATCATATGTTGGTGCAACAGGGAGTAATAAAAATAAAAATAACACAAATACAGAAGTGAAAATATTGGATGTAACTGTTGTTCTTAGTGGATGTGGTGGAGCAGCTGAAGCAGGTTCAGCATTTGTTCTGCACTTCATGTATTAGAGCTGCACAGCAGAGAAGTTACTCTGATATGTTTTGTTCTCTTCACTGTGAATAAAAAGATGCTTTTCAAAATATGTTACTGAGCAGCACAAATGAAACAGCTACAAAGCTGCAAGAACAACAGATTCTTACTAATTGATAAAGCAGATCTCCAACTTACATGATACAGTCAGTGTGATGGTATCACTCCACTCTGTTAACATATAGGTCCTTGTGCCCCGGCAGCTGTATCCTCCACTGTCAGACTCAGCAGCGCTGCTGATTCTGTATTCATTGGATGTTGGAGGTGTGTTTACCTGGCCTTGTCTCCATTCATACGTCCACTGAGCTCCTTCACTTCCCTGAATCTCACATCTGACAGTGACTGTCTCACCGCTGTATATCTGAGTCCAGGGTGGTTGCAGGGTCACAGTGGGCTTACTGGGAACTGCTCACATAAGAATGATCCAGTTAGGAAAAGAGACACAGAATAACTCTGCTGTTTATAACATAAGAGTAGAGTCACTGCAAAACAGCTGATTCACAGACAAACAGTTTGAAGACTCAACATCAAAACAAAGTCACAATAAAACTATCTATAGCTTTCAAACTGTAACACAACACTTTTTGTAAAATGTATCAGTATTTACTTTGTACAGTTATCTTTTATTTATATTCCAAAAAGTTACTGATTTTTTTTAATGAGTTGTCTTAAGTCTGATTTACTTTCACAAAGATGCGATCTTTGAGGTGTATAAACAAATCAGTGTGGATAAACAAGAAAACACTTTAGATTAAATCTAGAAACAGGATGAGGAGAGACTTTTTTTAAATCCCAGGATTAGTTAGGCTCTTGAAGAAGTTACTCTGTCAAGGCCGATCCTTAATCTCACAATCTTAAAGTAGACACAACAAAACTGAAGTTCTTCTATTTTTCTATTTCCATCTCTCCAAGTAATCCTGCTGTCAGAAAGAGAAACAGAAGAACAGACTAGTCCCCAAAGACAGGATGTAACAGTAATGACAACTTTATACAAAACTTTTCAAACTCAAAATTTCACAACTCTTTATAGGAGCAAAAGAATAAACAAACAAAAGTGACAAATGTAGAAAACAGAAACACAGTTCAAAGAACATTAACATGTTGAGTAAAACTGGAGAATTCATCTCATGAAAATATTACTTAAACAAATTAAAAGGAAGTGACTGACTCCATGTCAGACTCCAGGCCATGAAGCACCTTAAAAGCAAATAATTAAATCCTGAAATCAGTTTGAAAACATGCTGGGAGCCAGTGTAACAGTGGGACAGGTGTAATCCCATGTGATGTGATGTGATGTGATGTGATGTGATGTGATGTGATGTGATGTGATGTGATGTGATGTGATGTGATGTGATGTGATGTGATGTGTCTGAGTTGGTCTGCATTCATTCATCTGATTGTTTGATGAGACTGTTTCAGTGATCTAGGTGTGAAAAATCAAAGCATGTAAAAATGGTTTCCTGTCTTTAAATGTTGTAAAATGATTCATAACTTATGTTGCAATTAAT